GAAATACTACTTGCCTTTCTTCCTCCTCGGTGATACATCCTTGGGTTTGGAAGTGGCTTTTACTTGTCTCATTCGTAGGGTGTTTGCTTGTTATTATACCACCAGGGTTTGGAAACTCTGCTTGGGGAATTTAAAACAGGCCGTCAGTTTCACTTTCACACTCAAGTATGATTTAGGCCCTGCTGCTGGCTCATTGGAGCAAAATTCCATGTATTTACTTGGTAGTTCTAAAAGCTTTGCTGTTCAGTGACCAGAATTCTCTAGCTGGCTTCATGTTCCAGGGTTTTCCTTTCTTCTTTGCAGAGGCAGCTAGATCCTGACTGTTTCCATTAAGGAGGGCTCAGGTGCAAGGCTGCCTCCTCTGTAATTTTAAAGCCATAACCTTGAAATGACAGCTTTGGAAGAAAAGAGCCTGTAAAACTGGCTTGGTGCTTTTTTCTATCTTTCTGGGGTTGAGTTTACCTGTGTTGTTGTTGTTCTACCTCTCCTCCCTCCTCCACCCCGACCCCAGGTGGCGGGGAGGTTTGGGATTAACCATCCATGAAAGTGGCATTTGACAGCCTGGGAAATATGGAGGTCTGTTTACCTACGGCCAAATATGAGGCCGGAAACAATGCACACATATCCTCAACCTCAATCAGAGGGATCCAACTTTCTCATTGTGAAGCAGAGGGACTCACAAAGCTCGCAAAGGCTCCAAAGGCACTGGCTTGTTTGTCCACTAACTATTTCCACTTTAAATAAAATCAGATGTATCAAGAGAGGACAGGGAATCACCCAGAATTGGCAACTTTTGAGGCAGCAACCACATCAATAGAAGGTATCAACCACATCAATTTTGAGATCTTAATTTTTAAAATGATTACTTTCTTTTCTGTAGGTGATTAGAATCCATATCTTTGCTTAGCCACCATGCCCGGCTAATTTTTTCTATATAATTTTAGTTGGCCAATTAATTTATTTCTATTTTTAGTAGAGACAGGGGTGTTGCTCTTGATCAGGCTGGTTTCGAACTCCTGAGCTTGAGTGATCTGCCTGCCTTGGCCTCCCAGAGTGCTAAGATTACAGGCATGAGCCACCGCACCCGGCGGTGCTTTATTTTTTTTTAAAGTTTATTAAATGCCTACCACATGCCTAGTGCATTGGAGATACAAAGATGAGTATCACACAGTTTCATACTCAGGGAGTGCACATCCTAAGAGGGAATGAAAAAGAGAAAAGAAACAGCGATATAGCAACACAGAGTGATGGACGTGGAGGATACTGTGAGCGCCAAGGCTAGGGTAAGGAGAGCAAGGCACCCGCTTCGAGTCCAAAATTTAAAGAAACATTAAAAACTCAGTAATCAACATAAAGAGTATTATCAAGATAAACACAGCATCATCAGTATTACTGCCTTTTCCTTTTGGCTCAGGTTCTAACATGGCTCAGCAAAACTGTTGCTGATCTTGTCTTTAACATTTTAATTTTTTTGTTCATCATAAACTTTTGCATTAATTTTGATTGCTTAAAATAGTGATTCAAATATTCTTTATATTGGTGCCTCCTTAACCTCCCCAAAGTTTTACATCTTAGACAAAGCCCTCACTTTTGTCTCTGGGAGAATCTAATAGAGGCCAGGGTAGGGCTGGGAGGAAAAGAAGAGGTACAAGGTTTTTCATTCTGGTCAGGAGGCCTACGGAGCAGCTCTGCCTTGATCTGTTTTGTCTGTTAACACATTTTTTTTTTTTTAAGTAACAGCTTGTTGTATTCCTTGTTTGGAAGAAAGAAATTCTCAGGTTTAAAAATGTTTGAAAAGTTCTTACAATAATAAGAAAATATTAGATTCAAATACATAAACCCATTGCATATATCGTGGGATTGGAGCACCCAGGCAAGGGGAGAGTAAGCAGATGAAACAGGGCAGAAAGGTCCAAAGAGGTGTGCTAGATGCCGATGGCACCACTGAAGATGGAATGAGTTTCAGAGCTCAGCTATTTGCTTTCCCCCAATCTGCCTCTGCAGAGCTCTGCCCGCAAACTCAAGAGCACATTCGCTCATTTCACTGGACTAACCCAGTGGCTTGCATTTCCCTCTTTGTCCACTGGAGAGAGGGACTACAAGGATAATTTTCAAAAAACTGACTATCACAAGAGAGAGTTGGCTTTTCTTAGACAAAATGCTTAAGAATATGGGGGGGGGGGCAGAGAATGGCAGAGCCAGAGAAAGAAAATATGTCAGAAATGATTCCTAAAATTGAATAAATCCAGCTAGACATTTTTCAGGGCCACCAAACTTTCACTTGGCAACACCACCTCTGGGAATTTTTCTTAAGGAAACGGTTGAGGAACTTTGCCTGGATGTTACTGGCAGGACTGTTTGTAAGCACAAGAAGTCAGAAACATGGCTGGTTGCGGTAGCTCACGCCTGTAATCCTAGCACTCTGGGAGGCCAAGGCGGGTGGGTTGCTCGAGGTCAGGAGTTTGAAACTAGCCTGAGCAAGAGCGAGACCCCGTCTCTACTAAATATAGAAAGAAATTAATCGGCCAACTAATATATGTAGAAAAAATTAGCCGGGCATGGTGGCGCATGCCTGTGTTCCCAGCTACTCAGAAGGCTGAGGCAGCAGGATTGCTTGAGCCCAGGAGTTTGAGGTTGCTGTGAGCTAGGCTGACTCCATGGCACTCACTCTAACCTGGGCAACAAAGTGAGACTCTGTCTCAAAAAAAAAAAAAAAAAGTCAGAAACAAATCTAAGAGCCTCTCGATAGCAGGTTGGTTATATTTAACCAATTTATAAATATGAACCAGTACAGCCTTTCCAGTGTATTCAGTGTGAACATTGATATTGGAAGCTATTGACCATACATTTAGAAGAAAAAGTTCCCATGTTTGTTAAAAAAACATATTTGTGTATCCAAATCTCTATCTGACTGTGTGTATGTATGTGTTTAAGATTGGTAATCCTTATCAGGATGGATTATGGATTGCTCATTCTTTTTTTTGACTGCATTTTCTGATTTTTCTATAATAAGCAGAATGAGAAATTGGTGATGGGGAAACAATTAAAAACCTACTGTCTCTGCGCTGTGTGGCTGCTTTAGGTCTTTTTGTGACTCTCAAGATGTCCCATGGCCTGCTTTGTGTACTCCCAGCCTGCTCTGAGCCTCCTAAACGCTAAAGCAAACCCTGGTAATGCCATGGGGCAGTTATATTGCCATCAGCCACACAGTTACCACTAAAACTACTCCAGCTAAAAAAATATGTGATCTTTTATCCATGTGATAATTTATTTTATTTTTTTTGAGACAGAGTCTTACTTTGTTGCCCAGGCTAGAGTGAGTGCCATGGCGTCAGCCTAGCTCACAGCAACCTCAAATCTGGGCTCAAGCAATCTTTCTGCTCAGCCTCCTGAGTAGCTGGGACTACAGGCATGCGCCACCATGCCCGGCTAATTTTTTCTATATATATATATATATATATATTAGTTGGCCAATTAATTTCTTTCTATTTATAGTAGAGACGGGGGTCTTGCTCTTGCTCAGGCTGATTTCGAACTCCTGACCTCGAGCAATCCTCCCCCCTTGGCCTTCCAGAGTGCTAGGATTATAGGCGTGAGCCACTGGGCCCGGCTGATAATTTATTTTAAACTACTTTAATATAAGTAGTTTGCAGGTGTAGGCATTCTCTGCAATCAACAACTCAAGCAGTGATTAATTAGTATATGAAGCAACTGAATCTAAATCAACTTCTTACAGCTGGTTACTTAAAGCATACGGAGTATGTGCCACCCCTGAGGGTAGTTAGTTAGCATAAAGAAATGCTAGAAATAATGTTTTGTGGGTGAAGTTGTGAGCTAGCAGTGGTGAGACGGGACCCATTGCCTTTGCAGGGACAAGGATGTGAACTGGGTGGGCCCAGCAGCCCATGCCCACTCTGGTGGGGTCTCTTAGCTCTGGGTCTCTCCTTGCCACACAGGATCCTCTTGCTTGATCCAACTCAAATGCCGCCTATACAAACCTGCTGTGAATATGTCAACAAGTCTGCTTCCCACTACCCTTTCCTGTAAGATACTGGTTGGCACACACAGCGGCAGAGAGGGAGCTGTCCAGAGCCCAAATGAGCGCATGTTCCTGCCTGCCTGCTTGCATGTGTTCGTATGTTTGCCCTGCTTGTTCTGAGACTTGCTTGGATTGTGACACACCAACTGGTTTGGCTCAAATAACACTCACGGGCCTGTTGAGAGGAAACTACCAAAATTTACCAGAGAGAACCTCAGTAACTGTCTATTGGCTAGATTGGTTTAAGCCATTTGCTACAAATAAAAATAATACTATTCTTTCATATGTATCAAGCACGTTGTCTCAGTAGTATATAAAATGGATGTAAAATCAAAATATTTAGAGATTTTTGCTACTTTTATTGATGTTGTATATCATTGAAGTTTAAAACGTGTGCTGTGACACAGCTGTAGGACAGCCCTCGGCCACCCCTCCTTTAACCAGATTGCTACCCGAGTCACTGCTACGTATAGACTCTGCTGCTGCCTCTCCCAGGGGATTCTGAGTAATTTTTAGGAGGCCACCTGCCTTGTCTCACAATGCGCCACTTCCTTGGAATGGGCTTCTCTAGAATTTGAATTTCCAGCCCCAAGTTGGCACTTCTGTGACCATTTGCGATGTGTGCATTATTAATGTTTGGATTACACTGGAGAACTCTGGAGGTTAAAACTGATTCATGCAAATGGATATCTGGGTAAGCAGTAGAAACATGACCTTGAATAATCTCATGGTTTGATATCGCATAAACATGTTTCATAATCTGTTTAACAGCAAACTTGATACTTCCTGAATGTGTCTGCCCTCGCACACCCTTTTCTGATAGAAGAGAGATAAAAAGATCATATTTTTCTTCTCTTTCCTAATTGAGGAAAGTATTAAACTGAGAAAATCTGGTTGTGCTCAGTTATACACTTTCTTATGCTTTTCTTTTCACCCTGTGTTTTTTCATCTTCTTTTGCAGGGCCAGAGTAAAAGCAACTCTCCTACTTGGAATGGTGGCATTTATCCTCAAATTTATTACTTTAAATACACCTGCCTGACTCTGACCAGAGAGCAAAGTGAACTTCACCAATAATGGGACAAATTGACATTACGTGTCTTCTGATTGACACTGAGGGGAACACAGTGCCACTCTCCTGTGATCTCCCTGGCCAAGTCATAAGCAAACATCACATGAACCCAAATTGAGGGGATTCTACAAAATAATCGGCATAAAATCTTTAAAAATATTGAAGTCATGAAAGACAAGAAAAGTTTGGAGAATCATTCCAGATTGAAGAAGACTGAAGAGACATCAAAAGCAAATGTACATATGATCTTAGATCGGATTAAAAAAACCGGAAAAACAAATCACTTCTGTACATATTGGAACAATAGGTGAATTGGGAGGGTGGATTAGATGGCGATATTAGGTGATGATACTGTATCAATGTCAACTTCCTGCTTTTGATGGGTGAATTGTGGTTAAGTAGGAGAATGTCCTTGTCTTTTAGGAAATTCACACTGACATTTCTTGTGGGACTGGGGTATCATGTCTCCAACTCTCAATTGTTTCAGGAAAATAGAAAATAGATAGATAAATAATGATAAAGCTAAAGTGGAAAAATATCAGCAATTGAGGAACCTGAGCAAAAGGTACAAGGCAATTTCTGTATTATTGTTTCATCTTTTGAAACTATTTCAAAATAAAAAGTTTAAAAAAAAATGATTAAAGTGCGTCACGAAGCGAGTTAGTTACTGTTACTTACCATTACTGTTACAATGAGAATGCTCACTATCTCCATAGCAGATTCCAAAGACAGGACATCTATATGTATTTTGAGAAATTTTGAGCCTCAAGAAGCTCTCAGAAATGTCAGTTCTGACTCTTCTCTGAGGCTAATATTAGATCAGAGGTAGGCTTTAAAGGGTCACTCATATCCCAAAGTGACCATAAAAAAATTTCAAGCCTGGCTCACACTTATAATCCTAGTACTTTGGGAGGTCAAGGCAGGAGGATGTCTTGAGGCCAAGAATTTGAATATGTTGCCTGAGCAACATAGTCACATCCCATCTTTATAAAAAAATACAAAAATTAGCCGGGCATGGTGGTGCATGCCTGTATTCCCAGCTACTTGGGAAGCTTAGGCAGGAGGATCACTTGAGCCCAGGAGTTGGAGGTTGCAATGAGCTATGATGATGCCACTGCACTCTAGTTTGGGGAACATAATGAGACCCTGTCTCCAAAAAAGTACCCAGAAGGATGTTGTTTAATGAGGTATCTAAACACGGGTTTGAGTTCCATGTTTTTGTTACTTGAGTTTAGGATTTTGCCTGGCACTTTCGTATATATGAGTTCAAGACTGAAAGTCCTGAAAATCTTCTTGAGCCACCAGAAGACTTGCCCTCACATCTGATCAGCCAGGGTGGAGGCGCGTGGCCAATCTGAGTTACAAGGGTGGGCAGGGAAGGGAGTGTCTGGCAAAGGGCAGTGGGATTACCGTGAAGAGGCAAAGTGTCTGTCTCAAAGTATTTAGAATTTTTAAAAATAGACTTTCATTTTATTACCAAAGCTAATACATACTTTTCAAAGAAAGCTTGGAAGATAGAAAAACAAAAAAGATTTTCGTAATGCCACTACTCAAAGACTTTTCTCGATGCACTATTTTACCACTGCTCTAATCATACTGCATACAGAGTGTGACTTTTTTTCCCCACTTAATATATGATTATCTTAAGCCTCTATGGCTTTTGAAATCTATTTACCATTTTGAAATATGTTATACACTAAAGGAGGCAGCACAGAACAGCAGAGAGAGGACTGGCTAGAGAGTGAAGGGATGGGGTTTGTGGCCTCAGCACTGACCCTAATCCATTCCTGTATTTCCATTCCCTCAAAATAGAGAAGCATGTTTCCTTAGGTGTGCCATTCCCGAGTCTACACGGTCATGAGAGCTGGGCCTCACGACACACGAGTCACACTGCTGACTTAACAGAGCAGGCCAGGACCACAAAGACAAGCAGACCAGGTGACCTGGAGGTTGTTGCTGTGTGAAACTGCATATCAAACATAAAATAATATCATCTATAACATATGACTAATAATGTAATACCAGGTCTTCCAACTTTTCAACAAAAGCCAGAAATCCAGATTTTCATGTGAAACTGTTTGATTTTTAAATATGGGCATGTAATTTGAAAACCAAACCAAACCAAATCACCGCAGAGGCCAAACAGAACATGTTCACTGAGTGTCATGTCGTAACTCCAGCTAACCCAGCAGCCAACATGATCGACGCTGGGGAAGGGATGTACAGGAGGATGCACAGGGTTAAGAAGAGCTGCTTATGAGACATACAGACCATACAGCACCTGAATTGTTACAATGAGTCTAACACACCAAATGCTTATGTTAACGGTGAATAAACATAGTCTAGGACTTTATCCTCTCTAGTTTTTCATATCAATAGTATAATTACTTCCCATTGCCAATTCCAAAATGCCCTTGGGCATAAGCTGAGCTTTGATGTGCTCTCTTGAATAAGTTTGTGCTGTATTGAAACAACTAAGCCGAGACCCTCCTAGACCTCAATCCCTTTTATATACATTTTTTTTTCATGATCACATCTGATTCAAAATCAAGGCATATGCCTTTTGCCTTCATCACCCGGTTTAAGGTGAAAATGAAAATGAAAATGAAGAAAGTCTTAGACAGGTGTTCCCTTGAGAAAGAACTGCCACCTCGAGCAGTTTATTCTTTTCCTCCCAGCCTCAATGTTGCATCTTTAATCTCTCCTTTTCAGAGAAAGAATGAGCAACCTCATCACTTGCAGCGAGATTCTGACTCGTGGCTTGCTGAAAGTGGTGTAGAAAGGGGATTTAACAACTTTGAACTTTTCATGTGATTTTTTTTTGCCTCTGATGCAATTGTTATTAGAGTTCTAAAAAAGCAACAGCCCCCTGCAAAAACATCAGGTTTCTAAATGATCCATCTTCTCACAGATCTTGATATTCAATCCAGGTGTAGGAATAAACAGTATAGCCCTCGGGTTCTATCCTCTGGGCTTGGAAAAGCTTCAGTGAAATTCTATAGCAAAAGGCCCGGGCGCTTCCCCTGACTTTCTCTTTGTTCTACTACCTTTTTATCTCTGAAAAGCGAAGGGATTTCCTCTGGGGATTAAGCAGAGGAAACAACTTAAGATAGTGATAGTATTTCATTGGAATTAAGAGATGCGAAAGTAGCCCAAAGCCATCTTAATGAGAAGCCCTTTCCCCAACCCTGGACTGCTCCCCTCTGTATCCACCACCCAGCTCCACCGGTGCCTGCCCCACTGAGGTTTCTCGTTCTTTTTTTCTCTTGGCCACAGGAATATCTGGGGCAAACAGTAGTGGTTTCTTAAGGCGGAAGGGTGTCTCATCCAAAAGTGATACATGCTGACTTTTTTCCCTTTTCTTTGTATTTTTCAAAAGTGTTTACATGCACTTTTTTTGTTAACACCAAAGCGTTTTAAAATAAATTCCTGAAAATCAATAAGTATCTCTCTCATCCTGCCATGTCTTGGTTTTGAGTCCATGAAAGGATCAGAGGGAGAAGGAGACAGATGATTACTTTTCTTAATGATAGATCTTAGATGCTACTTACTGTACTGAGAATGAGATGAGAGCAAAGAGTTTCCTGTTCACAGAAGGCCTCTGGGTTTTCAGGATGTCCAACGTGCTACTCTACAAATTTGTCCTACACACACTTTTTATTTCAAACCAAAAATCTGTGCAAGGGTTAAGTTTGACAGTTAAGGGAAAGAATTTGTGTCCAAGCAGCTATACAAATGCAACCCTACATATCCATCTCTTGTCAACGTATGGCTAGGTAAAAAATATGTATATTTAGCTGCTATTCAAAAGCCATTAAAAATTCATGAAACAAACAATAACATAAATCATGTTTTTGTTAGATTTGTTATTCAAATTTTTACATTCTGATTTGTGGCTGACCTTTACTTTAAAAACATTCAATGGTAACCTGAATAACCAAATTCTAAGGTAACCATGTTTTTAATTACTTTCGATGCAAAACAAGCTTATTTTTTCTTTTGATTAATGATTAAACTTTCCAAAGAGCCAATTACTTTTCACATTTCTTACTTTAATTTTGTTATTTTTCTTTCACTTACTATGATTGCTATTTCCATTTTTAGGGAGATGCTTAGTTCATACTTTGATTGCTTTCGCAGTATCTCATTTAATTTGACATATTACATTTTTATTTTTATTTTAAAACACTTTTTATTACATGTTGGTGTTGTCTCTCTGGCCCAAATATTATTTGGTGAAGTTTAAGTTTCCTTTTTCATATTTTCTGTGTGATTGAACATTCTACTATATTTTGTTATTTCTAATTTTATGATATACTCTCTGGATATATGGTATATAAAATTTTGACTAATACTTACATCGTGTGGTCCAGAACACAGTCAATCCTTCTTTAAGAAACCCTTGGGCAAAAAAAGTGAATTTGTTTATACTTCCATGTGGTTGTTTGCACATATGTTAAGTCTGCCTTATTCATTTTGTGTAATTTTGTGTCATGTGAATTAACTAAATTCTACTTATGAAATTTTGATATTCCCAATTAGGTGTTGCACTTCTGCCAATTTTTCCTATTCATTTACTTTTTGCTTTATAAGTATTTTTAGGTGATCAAGTTATTTCTCCTATTTCTTTTGTTGTGAAACCTATTATGAGAAGAATCTCAAATCAAGTTTTTATTTTTAATAGGAACACATTTGACATTTGATCACAAAGAAAATGAAACTAATGTACTTTAGTAAGAAAAAAATAGTTGTGCACACACCCCTTCCCTCACCCTGCCCATTAACCTCTGCCTCTTGGCAAGCCTTTGACCTATTTTCCTAGTAAGCTCAGGCTGCAATTGTGTTACCTGGCTGAGTCACAATTGGGTCTTATGGAGGACAACCTGGCAATTACACTGTGTTCCTAGATTCAATGTACATTCATAAATCCTCTGGTGCATGAAGTCTAAAACCTCGTGACTTGCTAAGGCAAAAAATTGTATAAGCTGAAGCATAAATCAATGGTATAATTTCAATTAAAAATCTACCACAGACCTACCTGTTTTTATTATTAAATTTTATCATGAGTTGATCTAATTATTTGTCAATAACCTCCAAATATTAGAATCATTTTTTTCTTTCAGCAGATGTCTACCCAGGGGCAGATGCTTTATCTTACAATCCTCTTAGTACCATAGAATTCATGCTAATAACAGCCTCCAAGTTTGCTCTACACATAAATTAAATGTTAAGTGAGGATCTGTACTATTTTGTCTTTAGAGAAAAGGCAGTAAGCAAATAATATAATATCTGTTCTCCAAATGGTCAAAGGGCAAGGATAGTATAAATTCCAGGCAAATCTTTTTCTTAATGACACATACTTGATTCACATTCCAAGCTCTTCCCCAACTTCTGATTTTTGCCTTGCCTTTATTTAGGATAATTATGGCATTAGTATATTAGTATACTATATTATACGAATGTATTAGTATAATAAAGCCAACCTGCTTTTGGCTTTAAATGAAGCAAAAAGCAATGTTCTAGAAACAATTGAATAAACAAAAATGTTTATTTATTCAATAAGTAATTGTTGAACTACTCCTATGAACCAGGCAGTAGGTAATGTCAAACAGTGGAGGGGGATGAAGATGACAGGGAGTGGGGGCAGACATGGAGTCCCCTCCACCCAGTCCTAGTTTATTGCTGCCATGGAGGAATGCAGGCCCAATAATTGCAGACCTGATTTCCCAATACAAGCTAGAGATCAAAATATTAATATAAAATCTCCAACTTGTAAATATCAGTAGGTAAATAAAAATTTTTTAACAATTCTATGAGCCAAGCAAAACAACTCAGCAGCAGCTGGATTGGATTTAGGTTCATCCCACAAGTGGCTTGCTCTGGCTCTACAGGCAGTGAGTAGCTCATGTTTGTGTTAATATTCCAAATCCTTACTAAAACCCAGAGGCACTTTCATATAAATAATCATGTAGAGTTAGAAAGGTAAAGCATATCAAATTTGCCTTCTTTGTACATTGTGGTTTTTAAATACACTCTGTAAACAATGATTATTGAATAAATAAAATCTTCCCTAAGCTTATTTTTTAATATTCCACCAAAGTTCACTAACTTCCTGAACTATTTTCTTCTGTTCTGTTTGAAGGAATTAATCTTCAAGATTAAAATAGAAGTAATTTATTTGCAAATGGGATGCAAACTAAGCTTTGGTATGTTAAAATAATTAACTGGGAGGCCTTTAGACTAAGGCAGCCCTAGCACCCTGAGTTCCTATGTAAGCTAACCAAAAGCCGGCAGAGTAAGCATCATATCCTAGAAGACCAAATTTAAGCTTAACCAATCAGGAGCCACCAATTAACTTATAACTAGGGACTTTAGGGTTACTGTTTCACTTGAACCACTCAAATATTTTCTGTCTTATTTCCTCAAACACTTTTTTAAAAGTTTCCCCCTCACCCTTCCTCCGGTGGAGCCCAAACTGCTTTAGTTTGGCACTGACAGATTCATCAATCACTGTCTGCTCAAAGAAACTTTAAAATTTTAATGTGCCTCAGTTTATCTTTTAACAGGTACATCAGGCTAATGAGAAATTACCTGTTTAGAATGCCTCTAAAACTTTTACCATCTACTTTAAACAACTTGAATTCAAGTCTAAGAGAAATATTTAAGCAGTTAGGAAGATAGGTATTGAGAAACTCTATCAGGGTGAGTTATATTTCATTTGGTTGAACCATATTCACCATGAAGCAAATGTTAGTATCAAATGATGTGGCTGAAGATTAATATGGCTCCTTGAGTGCTTTTCCCCTATCACAGATATCCTGAGGATTTACTACGGCTCAGCCACTCACCTGAAATTTCGTTTCTTGAAATGGGCTGCTGAGGCATTCTCCTCAGGAATCAGTCACGGTTGAAAAGCCACTTCAGGGGTAGAAGAGGAAAAAATCTGTAACTTAGACATTGTTTTCATATAGTCTCACAATATGTGCGGTGTGCCTACTACACACTGGGAACTGTTCTCGGCCCTAAGATCCATCAGTGACTGACAGGCAGAGTTCCTACAGGGCTGAGGGGACATGTGCATGAACTAATGTGTCTGCCACATGGTAATGAGTACTGCGGAAATCAAAGCCAGGTCAGGGGACAGGGAGTATTTGGAGGGTCACTATTTCATATAGGGCCTCTCCGAAAAGACAAGAAGACTGGGCAGAGGCTGAATGTCCTGACGTATTGATGCCTGCGGGCAGAGAGTTTCAGGCAGAGGAAATGGCAAGTCTAAATGCCCTCAGGTGGGAGCAGTTTTGCTTCTTCAAAGGGAAGCAAAGAAGCCACTATGGCCAGAAGGCAGTGAGTGAGGGTGACTCAGAGGCGAGAGGAGAGGGAAGATGTAGAAGAGAGGGGGGGTAAGGGCAGATAATGTACAGTCCAGTCTTGGGCTTTTACTCTGAGTAAGAGGGGAAGCCATGAAGGGTTCGGAGCCAAAGAGCCACATGCTTTACCTCGGCTTTTCAAGAACCTCTGTGGCCTGCTGGGCAATGGTGACAGCAGGGAGACCAGTCAGGAGGCAACTGCAGTCACCCAGGCAAGAGATGATGGTGCTTGGGCCACAGTGGGAAATGGAGATGGTAAGAAGTGGTCAGGCATTTTACACATTTTGACAAGAGTTGCTGAAGGAATGAACTGTGGGGTCTGAGAGAGAGGAGTCATTGGATAATGCCAAGTCTTCAGCATGAGCAACTGGAAGGAAAGTTGCTATTTTAGTGAGATGAGTAAGACTAAGCAAGGTGCTCCTAGCAGCAGTAGGGGGTGGAGGTGAATGGCAGCAGAATTGGTTTTGGACACATTTAGAGATGCTTGTTAGATTTCCAAGAGGGGATGTTGATTAGGCAACATTGGGTATTTAAATTAGGAAAGAGAGGGGCTGGAATCTCGTGAAGATGAAGGAGATGCCTCAAAAATGCTAAATATAAAATAAAATAAAAAAGGAGTTATAAAATGACCCTCTTGAAAAAGTTTCAAGGAATTTTCACTCATGTCATCACTATTTTTATATCACTTGTAAAGTTCTGTGATGACTGTAAAAAGTATGTGGCGACATCAGCTTGTAAGAAGAAGTGGCTACATCAGGGGTTTCTGAAGTGTGGGCCCCAGGTAAGAACATCGACATCACCTACAAGCTAGTTACAGATGCAATGACTGGGCTCGCTGACTTAGTGAATCAAACTCTGGACATAGGGCCGAGGAAACGGTTTTGTCAGGCTCTCCAGGAGAATTTTATGCACATTAAAGACTGAGTAAACTAGATGATAAAGTTTAGTATTTCCACATTTTAATCATGTAAAAAGAAAGGAACAACTTTTTTTTTTTTAAATAAAATGTCTTTATTGTTTGAAGCATAAAAGAGTAAACAAAAATTGGTATGACATTTCATTTCTCAGTCTTCTCAATGAAGTTATAAAAATACAAAGCTTCTTAGTCTTTGCAAGCTCTTAAAAATGTCTAGAAATTCACACTTAGTATGACATAAAAAGGCACTTAGAACACAGGAGATGATTTTAAAAACGCACCTTATTGGTATAATTGAAATTGCTTTGAGAAAATTTTCTAAATATAGACTCCCACATAAATAGGACTTTGTTTTTTCTTCTTTTCCAAAACATAGTGTAGCATTTTCCCCATGTTACCTATAGACATCATAAATATGAACTGCTTTTTCCCACCTTTGTTCTTGATACAAGTTAACAGAAAAGCAAGCCAAAATTAATTTGTCTGCTTTTCTTCACTTTAATCTTCATTTTGTTTAAGATACAACAAAATTCTTAATTTGTAACCAAGATCTTTTAGGATGCCTGGCTCATCTTCATTTTGCTTCAAATCACAATTCATTTAAAAAATACAATGATGCAAAATATTTTAAAGTACTTATTATTTAGCTGCCTAAGCAACAATATGTCTGAAGCATGTGTACATATATGTGTGTATATTTAAATATTGCTGTTGAATCATTCCAGCCTTTTAGGATATTGAAATCATACTAACATAATTGTTGTGTACTGTGATCACAGATTTGGATACAACCCAAATCACCAACTGCATTCATCTGGGATAGAAAGGACAGGCATGCTTTGCATGCTTCTAACTCTTCATTTTCCTTCAGGTTGGCCAAAGGATAAACAGTGTACACCAGGAACTAAATAAATCCCCACTGCCCTATGTTACCTATGTGCTATTGCTGATTAAAATAAGTGTGTTCTTGCTGTGGAAATTCTGGAGTCTGGGGATTTTTATTAGATCATTTTTATTTCAAGGCATCAGTAAGAAAGCACAGGTTTTTCTGAACTGAAAGAAATATCACAAGTTCGATCAACAATTCATTCTCTGCATACAGCATGCTGTTTTAGAGGTAAGTGAATTATTTCACCCCATGGGTGTGTTCACTAAAGAAAGACATGAATTGCTTTAAAGAACTTCTTGAACATGGTCAATCTGAAGCGATTTAACAGTGAAATCCAGAGATTTGGTTACTTTCCTGGCAGGATTTGGCCTATACATGAAAACTGACATTTAAAATGATATGGGAAAAAAATATAGTCACTTGAGTGCTTATCATTTTATTACTGCAATCATAAATAGTAGTGATTTAAATTAGTCCTTGACATTGATTTGTGTGTTTAAATTAGTCCTCAGATATGCCTTTTCTGCCTTTTGTTCTATTGCTCACCCTTTTAAGAAATGCCATGATAATATGAGCACGTGGTTGTGTTGCATGGAGCATCTTGTACTACCTTCCCGAGTATATGTTCATGTGTTCATTTTAGCATGCCTCTCCTCATACATACTTTTCTATTCAACTTTTCTGTTGGATAACATTGAAAAGCTTTTGCTGGTTTTCAAGACAGTCTTTCAGTTTATCCTCTGTCAAAGTCAGTCGCTGCTCTAAGATTGAAACAGTCTGCGAAAAGAAAGACAAAATAATCAATGCCTGGTATACTGGTGATGAGGATGATGATGACAATCTCTGCATAGAAGATCCTTTGTAGAACTAGGACACCCATTCTTTTGCCAAGAAGTTGGCTCCAAAACGAGCCTTTCTTCTGGGCTCCACCACAGGGCAAGGCACTATTAAGTAGTTTAAGGAAAAGAAAAAAATTGACATGTTTGGGGAAAAAGGAGTAAAAGATCAGGCTAGCCTCTGCAGACAGTTCTTATACCAGATCTTCTGAAGCATTAAGGCCAGGGAAAGAGCCACATACAACTGCACAGTAGTGTAAGCAGTGGGGGTGCCTGCCCAGGTACTACTGATACGTCATCTCTGGTCATTCTGTCACAATTTAATCCATGGCGAACCGTACCTATATCGCCCCAAACAGAAAGATGGCTAGATTACTTTGAAAATACCATAATGACTGCCAGCAGTTCCCTCACCTAGAAGATGCTAATAGCACCTCATAGGGTTGGTTGTTAGTTGGACTGAATGAAATAATGCATGTGAAATGCTTACGCTAGTGCTGGCACACAGGACTTGAAGAATACTATACTTATTAATAAGCAGAGGAGTTAGAATACATATAGAACACATGCATACATACATATATATGTTAAATTTGAGAAATTTTAGTTTTTTGTGATATTGACTACTTTGCCTTCAGTCTTTTATATCTTAAAATTGTTTTACTACAAAATAAAACATTATTCAGGAACCCACACAAAGTATATGTGTTACTTATGGAATTTTCTTGAGAAAAAACATTCTTATAACCATCACCCATATCAAGAACTAGAACTTTTTGCCTACCACGATCACCTCCCCTGCCCTGCCTCCATAGCAGCCACTACCCTGACCTTTAGCGCAATCACTTTCTTCTGTTTCTTTATGGTTCTACTTCTTAGGTGTACATCCCTAGGCACTATGATTTTATCTTTCCCATTTTCAAGACTTGATATGGTATTTACAATCCCTTTTAATCTATAGGTGCCCACTCTCTCCTCTTCTTTTCTTTATAATTTGTCTGTTGACAGGCTCAGGCCATTTGACCAGTAATGTTTCCACCAGTCAAGATTTGAGGGACTGTACACTCAGGGTGCAGTTCAGCCCATTCTTCCATCCTCTGTATAGTCTACAAGTTGGCAGCTGGATTCAAAGGCTTGATCAGGTTAGAACCCTTGGTAAGGCCATAGGAGGTGGTCTCTTCTTTCATTAGAGGGCACATTAATAATGTTTGGTTGTCTCTTTTAGTTGTGTTATAATGATTCAGTGCCTAGATCTATTAATTCTTGTGGATTGCAAATGATGACATTCTAATTCTATCATTTAAAAATTACTATTTGAGATAATTTATAAACAAGAGACACTTCCCTCATCTACTATCTGGTTACCCAGTGGTAGAGTTCATATAGCAAAGGCAGGATGAATGTTCGGTTATCTTACTCAACAGGTTTCAAGACAACAGATTGATTCCCTGTCATTCTGGACATAACCAATTAAAAAAAAATCATTATTCAATAGCCTTTGCTTTTATATTCCATACTACAGATAATGACTAATTAAAAATAATAGTGATGCTGATAATATTTTCTACCATTTTTTAGTGCTTACTATGTGCCAAGCATTTTGCCAGATACTTTCACACCTTATCACATTTCACATGCCAAAGTTGTTGATATATACATTATCAACACCTTCAACCCTGGTTAACTCCATTTGTCTACCATCTAAAATATAATTTCACTTTAATTTATTTCTAATTATAGTTCAGTAGCGATAGCTTTAAACACCCTGTCACTTAGTCAGGTGATGTTAAGTCATCTGTAATTAAAGTGAATCAGAACATATTTATTTTACTTGCTACTTGCCCACAGATTCACTGTTCCCCTTTTGCAAGTATGCTGTGTGCCTGCTTTTAACCTCTTTAATATGTAAAAGCAATCCATCCCTTCAAAATTAAAAACAAAAAATCATACAGAAATTCATTATAGCTTAAAGTTATTTATTTACTTTGAATTAGGTAAAAAGGAGGAGAAATGGGTCATGAAGTTAAAAGAGTAGGGAACAAAAAGAGCCATTTGGGCAGGATCCTAATTGAAATGACAGTCTAGGTGAGGAAGTCATGGCAATGTGGAAACAGCCAAATAAAATGAAATTTGGCATGAAGTTGAGAGGGCAATGGCCTTTAAAGGAAAGAAACGTCTCACAAATAGAGAGAAAGTCACCTCTCTCACAATATTATGAAGGGAAAATGGGTGATTTTAATATGATTTTCACTGTGCAAATCCTATGGGTGGCTCTAAGTTCTCACATGACTCTTTCGTACAATCTGTCAGGACCCTAAAACTATATACTTGCCTCTTAACGCCAGAGGCCCTGAGATGGTATCTACAGGACAAAATATTCATTTAATTAGTGGGTCTAAACACTGCTGTACAACAGAATCATATGGGTTGCTTAAAAGACTGATCCCAGACCAATGGAAATGGACCCTCTCAAGGTGAGAACTGGACACGTGTGTTTTCTGGCTGCCCTGATGATTATACTGCACACACAGGGCTGAGCACTGTGTTAGGTGATTTCTATGCAAGAGCTATTTCAACTTGAAATATTTATTCTGGATAATTGATTGACATCTCTCTAGTTCACAGTTTAGACTCTTTTTCTATATAACTTACAACAATATCCACTCTGACAAATATTAGTGTCCTCATTCTACACATCAAAGAGGAACAAGAGAAGACTTCTTCAAAGGAAACAATGAATCAGAAAAGCTGGAAGAGAAGCTTTTGGTGTATCCATTTCAACCAACATACCACTTCCCTTAAATTACATGTACACCTCCTCACCAAGAGTTGGAAGACTTCTGGTATATTACTTAAGATCCACTGTATTCCTTCTTTGCAAAGGTAAATTGGCCTCAAAGGACTGGGTAATATTATAAGATGGGAATGCAAAACCATCATCTCTGGCAAATCACTACATCAATGTGAGAAGCTTTGGAATGAGAGAAATTATAAATTGGACAGTGAGAATATTTATAGAGTGAAACTATAAATATAAGAAATATTTCACACTAACCAGAAATGTTTACTCCCAACATATTTTTCTTATGGCCCTAAGTGAATGGCCTATCTGAACACAACTGCATCACAAAATCTAAGGGCAGAAAGTTCCTGCCTAGAACCAATGCATTGGTAGATAGCATGGAGTACCATTCGTAGCCCACACTGCTCCCTTCTGGCCCCTGGATATCAGAGCTAGCACAGTGTGTGTATGTGTATATTGTGTGTCTATACATACACTCATGTACATGGTTAGGGCAGCTCAGCCAAGCCTACCTTGCTATACTGATTGCTGCCTTGAGTTTGACTTGCTAGTGAAGAAAATTTTCCCTTTGCTCTGTTAGTCCTGCTATAACCAGGATTGTTTTGTACATCTTATCCCCAAGTGCAAAGCATGCCAACCCACCTGTGTCAAAACACTGAGCTGCTCCATAATATGCTCTAAAGCATCAGTCACAGCAAGTGGTATGCTTCTTTGACTCTCAGAGGGGAGGTCACTCATGTCTTCTGTTTTCTTTGTCATGGTTTTTGGCGAACATTCCGGCGACATTAAGGAAGGGTTCAAGAAATATCCGCAGATCTCCTCACTCTTGTCTGGCATCATTCTACCATTGTTTTCTGTAGTCTTTAACATCATAGAAAAGACAGGAAGAACTGAATTTCCCAAGCTTTAAAATGATGTGTATAAAAATTGTAAATATTCCTCTTCTAAAAAGCCTAGCCTTACAGTTAATTATTTATCTTCAATTATAACAAATTATGGATATTACAATTATAATAAGGAAACAAAGCTAACAAGGAATAGAGAAAATTCACAATTTTCCTTGATTTTCTTTTTAGTGAAATACACTTTGCACACATCTGCTTGAGGGATCAGGTATTCTACCATTAAAAACATTGTTGCATGAAGTTTAATTCTTAATTTAAAATCAAACACATCCATTAGGGTAACTATTACCAAAAAAATGAAACATAACATTGTTTTCATTTGTTGTGCTGGCGAGGATGAGGAGAAATTAGAACCGTTATGCATTGCTGGTAGGAATGTAAAATAGTACAGCTGCTATGGAAAACAATTTGGAAGTTTCTCAGAACATTAAACAGAGAATTACTGTATGATCTGGCAATTCCACTCCTAGGTATATATCCAAAAGGATTGAAAGCTGGGACTCTTAACAGGTATCTGTACACCAATGTTCATAGCAACATTATTCACAATAGCCAAAAGGTATAAACTACCCAAGTACCCATCAACAGATGAATATATAAACAAAATGTGGTATAAACATACAATGGAATATTATTCAGCCCTAAAAGGATCAGAATTCAGATACATGCTGTAACATGGATAAACCCTGAAAACATGCTAAATAAAATAAGCCAGACACAAAACGACAAACATTGTATGAGTCCACTTATATGAGGTACCTAGAATAGGCAAATTAAAAAAGACAGAAAATATAGTAAAGGTTACCAGGGGGTAAGGGAGAAATAATGGGGAGTTATTGCTTAATGGGTACAGAGTTTCTGTCTGGAATGATAAAAAGTTGTAGTGATTGTTACACACATTGTGAATACTGTGAAAAGTATTTAATGCCAGGGAATTGTACACTTAAAAATAGGTAAAACGATAAATTTTACATTATGTATATTTTACTACAATAAAATAAAAAATACAAAAATAATCCTCCAAACATAGGACAATGAACTATCTAAAAATAAAATTAAGAAAACAATTCCATTTATAATAACCTCAGAATAAGATACTTAGAAATAAATTTAACAGAAGAAATGCAAGACTTGTACACTGAAAACTACAAACCATCACTGAAAGAAATTAAAAACCTAAATAAATAAAAAGACATCCCATATCCCATGTTCATGAACCATAAAACTTGATATTGTTAAGATGGCAATACTCCCCACGTTGATATACAGATTCAATGTAATCCCTATCAAAATCCCAGCTGCCTTGCAGAAATTGACAAGCTGATCCTACAATTCACACGGAATCACAAGGAATCCAGAACAGCTAAAATAATATTGTAGAAAGAATGTGGAGGATTCACACTTCAAAATTTCAAAACTTACTACAAAACTATATTCAATGTAATAGAATTGAGAGTCCAGAAATAAACCTTTCCATTTATGGGCAACTGACTTTTGTCAAGGTTTCCATAACAATTTAATGGGAAAACAACAGTCTTTTTAACAAACAGTGCTGGGAAAACTGGGTTTCCACATTCAAAAGAATGAATTTGGGCCCTTATCTTACACCATATACAAAATTAACTGAAAATAGATCATAGACTTACATGTAGGAGCTAAAAGTATAAAACTTTTAGAGGAAAACACAGTAAATTTTCCTAATCTTAGATTACACAAAGGCTTCTTAGACACAACACCAAAAACAAAAATGACAAAAAATTGGACTTTATTAAAATTAAAAACTCATGAACTTCAAAAGATACCAACAAGAAAGTGAAAAAGATAACCCAGAGAATAGAAGAAAACATTTGCAAATCATATATTTGATAAGGAATTTATGTGTAGACATATAAAAAAACTGTTATCATGATAAAAAGACAACCCAATTTGAAAATGGGCAAAGGATTTTAATAGACATTTCTTCCAAAATATACAAATGGACAATAAAACATATGATGCTCAACTCCATTAGCCATCAGGGAAAATGCAAATCAAAACCACAATGAGATCCCACTTCACACTCATTAGGATGACTAAAATAAAAAAGATAACCAATAAAAAATGTTAGTAAGGATATAGAGAAATCGGAACCCTCATTCACTGCTAGCAGAACTGTAAAATGCAGCTACTCTGGGAAAGCTTGGTAGTTCCTCAAAATGCTAAACATGGAGTTACCATATGACCCAGCAATTACACTCCTGGGTATATACTCAAGAGGACTAAAAGCATACATCTACACAAAACTGGTATATGAATGTTCATAGCAGAATTATTCATAATAGCCAAGAAAATGGAAACAACTGAAATGCCCAGATATTGTAATAATGAACAGCTAACCAAAATGTGGTATATCCTCATGATGATGATTATTTGCCCACAAAAAGGAATGAAGTACTGATACATGCCACAAAATGGATGAGCCTTGAAAACATTATGGTAAGTTAAAGATATGAGACACAAAAGACGACATATTGTACAACTTTATGTGAAATGGTCAAAATAGACAAACATATGAAGAAAGACTAAGATTAGTGGTTGCCAAGGGCCAAAGAGAGGGGAGAATGTGCAGAGATTGGTAATGGGTATTGGAGGTAATGAAAATGTTCTAAAATTATTTTGGGGGGAATATTCTAAATTAGTGGTGATAATTGTACTGTATAACTTTTTGAATATACAAAAAAATCATTGAAATGTACACTTTAAAAGGGTGAATTTTATAGCACATAAAATCTCATTAAAGCTGTTACAAAAACAAATGAAACACAAATATATGCCTTATAGAAGTTGTTTTTTTAAAAAAATCTTAATATTAAATTTATGATTATCACTTAGGGTATGAAGGTTCCTGACAGAGGTTACCTCAAACAAGGAAATATACTTCTGATGACAATTAACACATGTAGAGCCTACTGTGTGCTTGGCATTGTTTCATATGCTTTACACATAACTGATTTAATCCTCATAATAATCCTATCAAGTAGGTTTTATCTACTGTTCCTCCCATTTTACAAATAAGGAAACAGATACAGAGAGGTTAAATAGCTTGCCCAAGGCCACACAGGTAGGAAAGGAAAGATGTATAAAACAAACCAATCGTAAATCTAAGATGCCAAAATACTCTGTGTCCTACAACTTTGGGATCAAGGCCACTTTTTTCCATGATCCTCCCAACCACTTATTTATTAGGAAGATGAAAACTTTAAAGTTTCTCTCTGTTGTAGTCTTACTAATTCACCATTTATTTAAAATAATAAAAACAAACTCAAAATCTACCATTTGTAATACGTATAAAACACATCTTAGTATCCTACTGGGCTAAGTGTATCTGCGCAGGCTCTTTTCGGTTGTTCACTCCACAGATATTTCTGGAACTCCACTCTGTGCCAGGCCCTGTTCTAAGTGCCGACGACCCAGCAGTGGATTACATAACATGATCCCATCACTGCCCTCCTGAAGCTCACATTCTGGAGCCTCCAGTCATTTGATAACTTACTTTTCTCCCTCAGAGATTTATGAACTTTTATATTTTGTTACATTTTTGTTTTCGTGTCTAGCAGAAATTTTGTTTTCTGCTAGAATGTTTTCAAAAAAACATTTTGTTTTCTTGTCTATATTTATTGTATCTTGAAAAACTGTCCTGGTCTCTGAGGAGCTATGCTCAGCAGCTTCAAATTTCCCACCTCTGAGATGTGCCTGCTATTGTTAGAGTATACACCTAAAATACCTGAGGACAAATGACATTTTAGGGTATGAAGTGCCTATTAAAATCCACACCTTCAAAACAATCCCATTACCATCTCTTTGAATTACTCAACTCCATATGAAAAGCTAAAATTGTCCTGAAAATGTCCAGAAGAAAAGCTCCTAGCAAGCACAGATCATGGAAGAAGTTAACATAAAGGATTTTTAATGTTACTCATTAGCCATGCTCAGAAGCATCTATGACCAACCACCTGTTCATGCTGTGAGCTAGGGGAACTGAGAAAACAACACACAGCACTTATCTACATGGGACTCCAGCGGGCAGCAAAGGCTAAAACGAAAGCAGTGTAAAGGTGAGTATGGACATACAAAGGATTCTCCAAGAAACCTGTCTCTTGAACACAACCTGCATTCTTGATCCTAGGCAGCCACCTCGCTCCCTGGGTACAACATACCGATGCTCATGTACAACGACCATCTTCAACCCAAAATAAATATTTCTTGCTCAAGGGTAGGCTTTTTTGTTTTGTTTTGTTTTTTCAACATTGCTTCTTCTCTGCCTGCAATGGGTTTCTCTGCTGTCCTGGCATTATGCATCCTTTTGAATCTATAAATTTCAGCTTAATCGTCACATCTTCAGAAAAGCAGTCCCTGACCACCCTCCCTATTGAAGCCGGGCCTTCCATTCTCCAGCATGGCATCCTGATGTTTTCCTCTGTAACTGATCAGAATTTGCATTTATATGTTTGTTCCTTGTCTTTTGTGTGTCTCCCTCACTAGACTGTACTACACCTGTTCTTCCCACCACTGTATCCTTTGGACCTAGCACCATGTCTGGTACTTAGCAGAAACTTGAATACTTTCGAATATGTTAACCACTTACATGCAAATTTTATTACTGTTCTCACAGATGGAAACCAAATTCTTTACAAACAAGATAGTTTTTTGTTTTTTTTTTTTTTAAATACAGATCGCAACATACCGAAGTATGTACATACATGGGCACAGATATTATTAATCACACTGTAATAACAGCTGCAGCTCTTCTCGGAAAAAGGCCCAATTAACAAATCAGTCAATGAACTCTCAGGGTTTGCAGTCAGGGTAGTTAGTGAAGAAAGGATAACAGGAACACTGTCAGAGAAAAGATTTAAGACCATAGACAGTCTAAACAACAAAAGAGCTCCAATATAGCCTTAATAATGTTTTTCTTAT